GCTTGACTGGCCAGAGCCGGACAGCAGTGCCAGCTAGGGATGTTAGAGCCCGCAGTGCACGTAACCGCTGAGATTTTTAGCGGTTACACGGTGACCGTATTAAACGATCTTTAACATCCCTAGTGCCAGTGCGTGCAATGCCGCAAATAAACTCTTTCCGCAGCTTGAAACTGGTTAAGTGTTTGTGTCTTTCAAGAAGCCTGGAACAAGAATGCGTATGGTGACTAATTTCTTTGTAAGAAAATGAGGTCCCCACGCTAAATGCCCGGGGTGCCTTGTTTGAAAGGACCCATCCTTACCCCAGCATCTTCCACGTACAAAGGAAATAGAGTCATTCTGAATCGGAAAGTCGAAGTAGATGGAGCATTGGAACCCCTGGATGCTGTGAAAAGCTGGTTCAATTTTGCTGTGTCATATACATGCCCAATTCCATTGGCCGCAAGGCATACCAGCTTTGGCCAGAATTGGCCAACTGTTTTTAAGAAAAGCCACAGGTCCAAGCTCCAGCAAGAGAGAGGATGAAGGATACTGAGACACTTGCTGGTGGCCTCTTCTTCAAAAAAAGGAAGAGGCTGTCTCGCTACCGCTAGGCAGAGAGGAGTAAGTGGCTAGGACAACTATCATTCCACACGTCTCAAGAAGGAAGATTGATAAGTCTGGATAAGTCTGCTGCTAATGCCAAGTTACACGCCCTTTATAAAGGCTAGTTTCTTATCTGCACACACGGGTGACTCCGTACGCATCTTAGCTTTCAGTTTCACATCATACTCTCCTCCCCTCGGAGAACCAACGACTATGCCCGAGCACAAGGTCACTGGCCAAGCAGCAGTGGCTGACTGATGACCTCCCTAACTCCAAATGAGCAGGGCAGGTTTTTAGGCAGGCAACCTGCAAGTCCATAAAATCCTGGACCCCAACGACTGCGGAACACAAGTGGCCTGAGGAAAGTGGGTTCACAATGTCTGCCAATAGGTGGAATGACTCAGCAGACCGAAGAAAACCCCTGGGGGCCAGTAAGTTTTCCCTCAGGACGAATAAAAAGAAAGCAAAACCGTACCCTAGACACAGAGTGAACATCGACAGCTCCCCTCACACACCAGAGCCTTGGGGGGCCCAGGCTAGTAGATTTTATGTGCTCTAGCCCTGTGGTGTTGGGGGGGCTGGAACACCAGCATGGGCTCCCCAATTCTGTAGGGGAGCCCAAGCCCTTGGGGGCCAGAACCAGGCAAGCAAGCAAGGGGCCACATCCAGCCCCCAGGCCTTAGGTTCCCCACCCCTGCCCTAATGTGAAGAGGCCCTAATGTGAAGTGTATCTGACCTCCTCAGTCACCTCGCGCAGTGCAAGAGTGACCCTCTGGTGGCCTAAAGCCAGATAGCGGCTCCTCTCTGCCCCCCCATCTCCCTCCACGTAGCCTGTGTCTGGCATAGGGCACATGGCTGGTCCTCTGCAGATGTGTGGTCCTTAAGCAGCCAGAAGAAGTAAGTGCAGCATTCTTGAAGTGACGCCTGGGAACCAGCCCCACGCCCCGTCCTGAGGAGTTGCCAAGCCAATCCACCCACCGGGTTGGAAGTCCTCTCCCACAGACCGCAGGAGCTGGCCCACGGAGGTGCGGACACAACCCTTTGCTGCGTTCCACTGGACAGTGCCTCGCACAATAACTGCGCCCCCAAGAACAGCCTTAGGACAGAACTCATGCAGCGCGCAGCAGCCTTCCTCTGAAACAATGGTGGCCCCGGGGCCCAACTACAGCAACCCTGCTCCTTGTGCTCCCCACTCACTGCCAGGCCCTGTCCAAAGCCCTGCCTCCAAACCTCAAGGCCAGAAAAGTCCAGGCAACTCAGACTGCTCCTGGAAACGGAGAGAGGGAGGGGGGAAATAAATGGCAGGGGGCCGAATGCACAAAGTAGCGGATGCACATCGATCCTAGAAAGCGTGGAGACTGATCCCTTACAAAATCAAGAAGAAATAACGTAAGACCCACCTTCTGTATTCAGGAAGGGGCTGGATTCTGGATGTGAATGGTCCCAAGCTGAGGGGGGTGGTCCCAAGAAACTAAAGAAGGAAACCAAAGGAATTCCCTACCCAAGGGGAAAGAGGCTGGAGAGCGAGCTGCCGTCCTTCCAGCCTGCTAGTGGAGATGGAGGGGTTGATTTGCTCAAATTGCACATTTCCATAGTCTCCAAAATCATGGGCCCCAAAGGGCTCGTTTGTGCTTAAGGCCCAGGTCTGTTACTAAAAGATTGCAGCCAGTGAGGTACCATTTCTAACTGGCCCAATGGTATTTACGTTGAAAGTGACGCATGCTGACCTAGGATGCCCCTGTTAAACCTGGGTACCATGTATGCAAACCTTCACTTGGTAACCCCTTGTGGTCTTCGCAAGCTATGTTGAAAGGAAATCCTTGCCCATTGTGGGTTTTTTGGGGTTCAGGATAAATCCCATCTGCTCCTGAAAACGATTGTGTTAGCTTAACTCCCTTAATTCCACTATTTCTTGATCCCTAACGACCTGAGGCACTAGAAAACATTGCAGACAACACACCTTATGAAGCTTAAGTAACTAGCAATGTCACATGGATGTGACAGTCCAAAAAAGAGAACCTAACCTCTCACTGCCCATCATTTATAGACAGTTACAGTGATTTGCAATCTGCTTCTATTGTCTAGAGATTTACCGAAGAGGGAGGCTCTGAGTCACGGGGTGAGCTAAAATCTCATCTGGCTTTATATGTCTTATTTTGATAGGCTGCACTGCTGTTTAAGTTCCAATTCAAGAGAAGAATCAAAACCAGTTTTAACAGGTGCTAACATCGCTGTAACCACTCACTGCTCAATCACCAGGCAGTATTCAGGAACCATGGATTCTAATCACTAGTACGTAGGTCAACTCACCGATCTTCATTTATGGCGAAAGTAGGTGTTAGGATCTAATTCATTTGGGCCTTCCTAGATTCCCCCACCACAAAGCTTTTTTTTAAAGAAAAACAATAGACCACGTCAGAGAGACATTCATTTCCCCTAATTCACCAAAGGTTAACTGTTACTCCAACTGATCATTCGAAAAAAAATCCTAAAATCCCTCTTTCCCATCAAGCTCAAAACATGTAAGCTCAGGAATAAATCCAGACAGAAACTGTAACAACACAGGCAATAAAAACCTCACAGCATTCACATCTTTTCATCTGCCATGAATATTGTAAACACTCTCTTTCAGGCTCTTGAGTGTTACTAATCTAACCTTTTGGCTTCCGACACTACTAGTCATAACAGCCCGCCTCTTGCTATAACAGCCAGTTGGTTCACCCCCCTAGAAAAGTGGGAGAAGATACCTCTGTAGCTTCCAGTCAGAGTAAATCCTAATGTCAGATCTTCTTGCAAAAATGCTGCAAAATCAGCACTAAACCTAAGAAGTATGGTTCTAATAGGGAGCGAGCACAGAATTTTCTCCCTTTTTTTTCATTATTTTATTGCTCTGGAAGCCTGCAAGTTCCAACTGTATAAATGCCAATAACTTCCCAAGTTTTAAGGCTGTTGAAGTAAGAGATCAGATTTTAGCAAGTGCTTTCCAGGCTGGGAGCCAAACTTCTTCTGATTCAATAAAAGCAACAAGGGGGCTGAGTGGGGAGGGCTGATTAACCTCAGTCACCACACAATCTCAGAAATGCCTGCTCCGTGAAGAGGGTGCCATCGCTGAGCGCCCGGCCCGGCCTGCTTTGCCTTGGGTGGGGGCCGGAATGCACTGAAGCAATCCAGCAAACGCCTTCCAACCACAAAGTAATTTACAGAGGGAGATCCCCTCTCTGGCTCAAGAGGCTGCGCTGCTGAAGCAAGGAGTCCTTTTGGTTTACCGTCTAGC